GGTTGCCTACATTACAACCCTAGTTCGAACTAGGGTGGTAGTGTAGACATACCCTTAGTTGGGAATAATCCCTCTGGCTGGGTTTTAAATTATACTGGTTTTGTTCTTCAAGCATGTGTTTCTGCTTTTCTTCATCCAGGGACTAAAAAACATTTATTTGTCTGAGGCTACATCTACACTGGCATGATCTTGCGCAAGAACCCTTTTGCGGAAGAGTTCTTGTGCAAAAACTCTTCTAGAAGAGAGCGTCTACACTGGCATGTGCCTTTGCGCAAGAGATGTGCTTTTGCGCAAGAGCGTCCATGCCAGTGTAGACGCTCTCTTGCACAAGAAAGCTCTGATGGCCATTTTAAACATAGGGCTTTCTTGCACAAGAAATTCATATTGCCTGTCTACACTGGCCTCTTGCACAAGAACAGTTGTGCAAGAGGGCTTATTCCTGAGCGGGAGCATCAGAGTTCTTGTGCAAGAAGCACTGATTTCATACATTAGAACGTCAGTGTACTTGCGCAAGAACTCGCAGCCAGTGTAGACAGGCAGCAAGTTTTTGCACAAAAGCGGCCGCTTTTGCACGAAATCACACCAATGTAGACACAGCATAAGAGTACTGTTCTACCTGGTAGCATTGGTTTGGGGAATACAAGCTTGAAGACCAAACCTTCTTTCAAAGGTTTCCTTGAACAGAGTACTTGTGTGAAGAAGGCTGCAGATTTTTGACACTTTTGCCTGGGCACCATATAACTTCGCCTCCTTGAGACCATGGTCAGTGAGTTGCAGAGTATAAGCAAAGCAACTGTGTCTCTTAATTCGAGGTCCACTTGAGTTTACATGATGGATGACCGATGTAACGACTTCTGGGTTTAAGTCTTCACATAATTCTTCATTTTCCAAAGTGTCATCTTGCATATCAATTTGCTGCTCTGATTCATGGTTGTTAAATGCTATGATGAATGCTTTACGCATGTCCGCAGCATTGTCTGTTATAACATATCTAATTTTATCCTTTATTTTATAAGAATCACATATGTTCTCAAACACTTCTGCAATGTTCTCACCAGTATGCTGGCCAAGGAACCTTTCACATGACAACAATTTGTCACGAGCGCGTACCTTATTATCATGTGGGCTGTTACTCCCCAAAAGCCTCTCATTCTTCTATCTGACCAGATGTCGAGCGTCAGTGCAATTGTGTCCACCTCAGTAAGAAGTGCCAACACATCAGCTTTCACATTATGGTACAAATTGTCCAGTTATGTCATAACCAAAGACCGACTTATTTCTTGTGACTGGGGATCCAACACATGACAAAATCGCCTGAACTGTGGTTTTTCTGCTATTGAAAGTGGTAGTAAGCAACCAATTATCAGTTCTATAACCAAAGAACTGACTATTCTTCTTTGTTTAGGATGATTTATTCCATAAACACCTTGATTATCATGCTTTATAAATGAAATCCGATATTTTACACGGTGAGGCGGGATCAATTGTGGTTTGTCGCAGATATTTTTCGTACTCACTGTGCTTTCGCGGATGGGTTTTTATAAGGCGCAAAAAATTGGAAGTTGTTGCAATGCCATCAGTGATTACAACCCCACATAATTTGCACTTCGCTGATCGTGTTTTCTCTGGATTTATTGATTTGACCAAAAAAAACAAAGTTTAGGACATTTTGATTTTTCTTCCTCATTCTTCACAGACGGATATTAACTTTTTGATTATTTTAATTTTTTTTGTTCACTATGAAATTTCAAAAATGGCATATTAATGTAAAATTTCATAAACAAACACACAATCAATAAAATTTTCACAAATCCCAAGCCAATAAACTATTTTCGCATTGTTGTTGTCGTAGCTCTACGTTAAAGCCAGAAATTGCGCCTAGATGCGTTCAAAACAATGAAAAAAAATGAAACACATTCACCATGTATTGCATCGTTTTGAAAGAAAAGTAACCCACAACAATGTAGCATACTGTTGACAAGTAAATGGGATATTTTTATCAATTCATTTTTTACAACTCTGAAATCTCGCATCTTCATGAATATAATAATTGTTTACGTCACTGAAGTACTTATGGTTGCCAGGTGTCCGGTATTTTCTGATTTTTCCGGCTGCGCACCGGACAGAAGCCTGCGTGGGCGGGAGGAGCAGCTGGAAGGCGGGGCCATGATCGGCGCTAGGAGCCTGTGACTGCGCAGAAGCCTGGTGGGGGTGGGAAGAGTGGCTGGGACTCCTAGCTACTTCCCCCACCCCCACCAGGCTTCTGATGCGCCAAGAGCAGCGATCGCGGCCCCGCCTCCCAGCCTGGGAATCCCAGCTGGGAGGTGAGGATGCGTTGGACGCTCTGGGCGCATCAGAACAGCGGCATTTTCGGACATTTTTTTCACCAAGTCGCTTCAACAAAATTAGCAAGTTAAGTCACAAACCATGAACCTTAGTCGAGTCTCAAGTCAAGTCATCTAGGTGACTTAAGTCGGACTCGAGTTCAAGTCGTGAGACTCGAGTCGACAACTCTGGAACACTTCAATCTTCCTGGACACACAATTGCAGATCTAAAAGTAGCCATCCTGCAGCAAAAAAACTTCAGGACCAGACTTCAAAGAGAAACTGCTGAGCTACAAGTCGACACTTGCCAACAAGGACTTAACAAGAATTTGAACTATCTCACCCATTACCAAGACAGTTTCCCCAATTATCACCTGTAATACCATTAACTCACAAACATCCCACTCTCCCTACCTTTAATATCATCAATTCACAGACACTTACCTTCCTTCCTCCCCCTCCCCCCCCCCCGCATCCCCCTTCTGTTCTGCAATGTTTTGTCCTTTTCATATTTGTTCATTTTTTTAATTGTATCCTTTGGTATATATGGTTGTGACTACTTTCTTCCACTATTTGATCTGAGGAAGTGGGTCTGGCCCACGAAAGCTCATCATCTAATAAACCATCTTGTTAGTCTTTAAAGTGCTACATTGTCCTGCATTTTGCTTCAACTACCCCAGACTAACACGGCTACATTTCTATCAGTATTCTGCTGAGCTACAGTTCATCTTTAAGTTTGACACAATCAGCTCTGGATTAAACAAAGACTGTGAATGGCTCGCTAACTACAAAAGCAGCTTCTGCTCTCTTGGAATTCACACCTCCAGATCAGCTGCTAGAAGTGGGCCTCATCCTCCTTGATTGGATCCACCTCCTCATCTCCAGCCTGATCCTGGCCTGCATATTTATTCCTGCCTCTGGAAATTTCCACTTCATGCATCTGACGAAGTGGGTCTTTGCCCACGCTTATGCTCCTACACTTCAGTTAGTCTATAAGGTGCCACAGGACTCCTCGTCGCTTTTGCAGATTCAGACTAACACGGCTACCCCTCTGATACTTGACAACTCTGGTGTCTACCTCAACTGCGTAGCTTATTTCCAAATAGCTTATTTCAAAATAGGGAGCATCTACACAGCACTTATTTAAAAAATAGAGCACTCTTCCTCCCAGTTCCCTTATTCCTCCTCCAATGAGGGTCAGCGTAAGCAGTCCTCCAGCTTGACAGTATTTTGACACTATTTTGAAATACCTGCCTGCTACGTAGACACGGACTCAGTTATTAGGAAATAGTGTTGCCGTGTAGACGTAGCCTCAATCTGGCATTGTGGCGCTCCAACAAGGAATGCAAGATTCTGTTTAACCTGTTAACCCGTTACCCGCGTGTGCCAGTTAACCAGTTACCGGCGTGCGCGGGGCGCTGGTTAACCAGTTACCTGCACCCAGTAAGGGTGGTGCTTACCAGGTAACTGGTTACCCGTTTACATCCCTGGCCCAGCTGTCCAGTTGCTGGGTTCTTGGGCCCGCGCCATCAACAGATCGGGGCATTCGCCCTCCACGCGGGGGGCGCTGGCCCGACGCTCACGTTACGCGGGTGGAAGCGGCAGCGGTTTGTCTCATGTGA